TACTGATGAGCCACAATCTTAGCCTGGGTGACATTAGTTTTAATTTTAAAATCATTAAATGAGCAATTGTAATAGCACGTGCCCATATTATAAAATATTGGAAATTACAACAGAGTCCCATGGATATCTGTTACCTATGAGAGATTCTGCCACCTTAGGGGGGAGTTGAAGAGAAAAGATAGATCAGAACAGAGTCTGTGAAGTGTTGCAAGAAATAGTTTTAAGCTTTTGTGTAATTTGTTTAAACACTAAAATGTCAAAACCAAGTAGGCCATAAAGTATAATTTTGGGGACTGGGACTGGGTATTGAACTCAGAGCACTCAACCACTGAGCCACATCTCCGGCCATATTTTGTATTTTAGTTAGATACAGGGCCTCACTGAGTTGCTTAGGGCCTCACTGTTGCTGAGGCTGGCTTTGAACACCAATCCTCCTGCCTCCTCAGCCTCCTGAGCAGATTAAATTATAGGCACATGCCATCTCACCTGGCAATAAAGTTTCATTTTAAGGGCACACAAAGTAAATATCTTAAATGTCAAATAACAGAATTCCAATCAATTAGAATGATATAGAATTCCAATCATTCTCCTTGGGTAAGAAATATTAAAGCGGCTTTGGCTGGAACTCAGTAGTGAATCGGTCGCCTAGCATGTGTGAGGCCCTGGGTTTGATTCTCAGCAGCACATAAAAATAAATAAATAATGGACTGGGGATATAACTCAGTGAGTAGAGTACTTGCCTCACATGCACAAGGCCCTGGCTTTATTCCCCAGCACCACCAAATACATAGATAGATTCAAAAATGTATTGTGTCCCTCTCAACTAAAAACAAAAACAAAACAGAAGAAGATTTGGGCCTTTTGCAAATGCCTGTGATTCTAGCAGCTGGGAAAGCTGAGACAGGAGGGTCACAGTGGGTTCAAGGCCAGCCTCAGAAGAGGAGGTGCTAAGCAACTCAGTGTGACCCTGTCTCTAAATGAAATACAGAATAGACCTGGCAATGTGGCTGAGTGGTTGAGTGCCCTCAGTTCGATCTCTG